ACAATTGTAACCTGATGGCTGACTGACGCACCATAATCTGTGCGAAGGAAATAGCTCTCATAGCTGCTTAATTAATGATAAACAGAGCCTTTGTTGCTGGTGTTGTTAAAAAAAGAAAAAAGAAAAAAAAAAAAAAAAGAAGAAGAAAGAAAAATCAATGCAGATTTTTTGCCACATGTGCAAAATGCATTCTGGAGGGCCAGCGCTAACAAACCTTGGTGACAAGCACAAGCCCGTTGCTTCATCCTTTCATTCCAATGGTATGAGATGGAACGTGAAGCATAATGCATGATCTTGTCGTGGGAAGCACCCAACCCAACAGAACCCACTCCAAATGGACAGGAAGGGAGAATTGGGCAGGCCTTGCGTGCTGTGCTCTGCCCGGGGATCCAGAGACGTGCTGACATCGCCTGGAAACTCTTGACACAGATCATTCTTCTGGCTTTCTGCTGCTTCATCATATGTTTCCTGCATTGTCTTTCTCTGTCGTTATTTATTTTCAAGCACGGACGTGTGTCAGTAAATAAGAGCTCTGATGATTCTCTCTTTTGTTCTTTTTCTGGGTTTGCAAGCATACGGATTCCCCTCCCAGCAATGATGCAGCCATTAGGCTTGTCCCATACACCTGAGTACTCCCAACACTAATTCTACCATATTCCTGTTACCTGAAGAGTTACTTAAGACAATAGCAGAGTTCTGCCACATGGAGTTTCTCTATAGCAAGGTCCTGGAGTCAGCACACAAGTGGCCTTGACACAAGCCAGGACATTCCAGGGCTCAATGAAGAACAAGGCATAAAGGAGGTCCACTGGGAGCCTCACCTTACAGCCAACTTTAAATGTGAAACATCAGATATAAAAGCACAGACAGTTAATGAATGTGGCCTTGAAACTGGTTTAGAGTCTTCTTGTTAAATTAGAGGTAAAACTAGATGGATCTGAGCCATCCATGCAGTCCTGGCTTCTCCTATGACCTCAGTATCACAAGGCAGCTTTTATCCACCCATGCAACACTGCAGGTTTGACACAATCCTGACTCTCGCTTCCCTGTCTGGAAAAGTACCTTCTGACTCCCACTGAAGGGAAGGGGAAAGATCTGGCAGATATGTGGCACTGGGAGCCTAGATTTGCTGCTGGCATGATGCAAGGGTCCATTGATGGATTTACTCTTGCAAAGAAAGCTTTCTCAAAGTGCAATTAATTTTTTTATTGGTGTTTAAATCCCTGGGAAAAACAAAACAGAACAGATGACTATTTAGAAATAAATCTACTTCCAAGGAGTCTTGGTGGCCTCGTGCTGCAAGAATACCAGGTAAAGACTAATTTCTCTTATAGACTTTGAGCAGCAATGATCTGGAGCTGTGGGCTGAAAGCAGATGTTGGTGAATGACCTCTCTGAGCAGTGTTGAGCAATCCTTATCTGAGGGACATGGTTAGTGGGCACGGTGATGATGGGTTGATGGTTGGACCTGATGGTCTTAGAGGTCTTTTCCAAACTTAATGATTCTGTGATTAAAGCCTTCATTTGAGAGGGGAGAAAAGCATCCATAACTTCTCAAGGAAGGAAAGCTCTGGAATCTGTGGTTGTTCCTGGATTCATGCATGGTCTGAGCATTTCCCTTTCCCACAGCACATTTCCCTCACTGTGAAATGCAAATGACGATGTTTGTCTGTAATGGTGGAACACGTGTGGGTTTAATTTCAGATTTCACCTGCTGTGGCAGAATGAGAGGATCTGTTCTGGGTCCACAGGTTAAGCACGGGAAAGATTCTGCTTAGCAATTAATTCCTGTTATAACTGTATATTGTTTGTTTTTCAGGCTTCCACGACTGTGGCGCTTAAAAGGGAACACTGCACTTAAATTTCAGTGAGAGTTTCAATAAAGACAAGGAAGAAAACATCTCAGTGCAAAAGAAAAGCACTGGACTAGCTTTGCTAAGAGGCTTATGGTATCTCCATGGTACAACGGAGAGCATGGTGGTGATGGTGGGCATGTGGTGATGGGTTGGATGGTGATGGTAGGACTAGATGATCTCAGTGGTCTTTTCCAACCTTCACGATTCTATGATTTTGCAACTCAGGAAGTTGTTTTGCAGTGAAATACCTTTGTACAACTGTTTAGATCTGCTTCTGAGTTGCAACCTGGTCTGAGATCCTTTCCAGATTTATTTTCTATGATGAAAACAAGACCTACAGAACAGAAAATGCTCCTTTTCACACCACCCTCTTTTTTTCTTCTACTGATTCCCCCCCCCCTTTTTTTTTCTCTTCTCTTTGTCACATAACTGCTCTTGAGAGCTGGAGTACTTCTCTCCTATTGTGCAAACTCAACAACGTGTCTCATCCCCAAGCTTTTCTCTTTTTCCTCTCTCCATGCAAAACTTTCTTCATCATCTTTTGGGAACTTTCCCTCCACCTTCTCCACCATCTTCACCAGCTGTTTCTGCAGTCAACAGCATTTGTTTTCCTGGTGGAGAACAGTACAAGGACTGTCATGTGCTCTGCCTCAAAAACAGAAGAAAAGCCATGTCAGCTCAAGAGCCCAAGGGCTGAAGAACCTTGTTTGCCACCTCTGCAAGCACGCAAGCCCTTGCTGCAGCCATGGTTTCGTAGCACCCAGAGCTCAATGCAAGATGTGGGACAGTTTGTAGACACCACAGACATACAGAGCCTTATTTCTGGGCATGGATATTTAGCAGAGAATGTAGTGCATATGGTGGAATGGCAGTAAATCTGTGATCATTACGTAAGTCCAGCAATGGTCCCACACATGGGAAAGGACGTGGGATGCTGTGGAGGAGTGCAGAAGGCAAAAGTCATTAGAGCTGTAGAAGTCTCCTACGAAGAAAGGTTGAGGGAACTGGGATTGTTTAGCTAAGAGAAGAGAAGGCTCCAAAGAGACCTTATTGTGGCCTTCCAGTACTTGAAGGGAGTGTATAAACAGAAGGGGGGATGGCTGTTTACGAGGATGGATGGTGATAGGACAAGGGGGAGTGGTTTTAAACTGAGACAGGGGAGGTTTAAGTTGGATATTAGGAGGAAGTTTTTCACCCAGAGGGTGGTGAGGCACTGGAACAGGTTGCCCAAGGAGGCTGTGGATGCCCCAGCCCTGCAGGCATTCAAGGCCAGGCTGGATGTGGCTCTGGGCAGACTGGGCTGCTGGTTGGTGACCCTGCACGTAGCAGGGGGTTGGAACTGGATGAGCATTGTGCTCCTTTGCAACTCAGGCCATTCTATGACTCTATGAAGAGAAAATACATATTTGCAACGTTCTATGATTCTAAGTCGTAGAGCCATAGAATGGCTGTGCCTCCATGGCTGAGATCTGCCAGTCTGAATCCCTTCTCTCTCCTCTTTCCAACATTCTGCAAAGAAAATATTACAATCTGACGACGACAAAGCCCCTCCATTCACAAGACTTTCTGCTGACCTCACTCATGTTTTCCCAACCCCAAAGTGGCTGAGCAAACAAGGGAACGATTTGGAGCTACTGCAAGCCTGCCTGGGAGTCACGATGATTAAACCCATTGGCCCTGACCCAAATCTAATGTGAAAACTCTCTCCATGCTCACCTATCATCATCAATTCTGCCTTTATCAGGCAGGCGGTTACTTGCTCCTCGCTTGCTCTGGCTGCTCCACAAAACCTCCAGGGCCAGCAAGGGAAGGAGAATAAATACCCCATCTCCACTGAGACCTCAGTGCTGCCTCTCAACTCCTCAGGTTTCCTGCTGAAGTCCTGGCTGCCTTTTGTGTGGCTTCAAAAAGGAGTTATTATGGCCTCTTCATTCGCCTCTATCCCCACTTGCTTCAGCTCTATTCAGGCACAATGGAGGTTTCTCTGAGAGGAGAGCTGATAATATCACTTCTCAGGCAAAGAGCTTAATTCCCACTTCGAGGTTGGGCAAGGCATGCTCTGCAAGGAGCTGCTCTCTGCAAAAAAGCCACCTGAATACAGCAGACAAACCTACTAAAGCTTGGAGAGCACTGCTTATAGGTATTACCTTTTCCCCCCAAACACAGAAGAACAAAGAGTTCCCTGGAATGTGGCTTATTTAACATAGTAAACATTAAGCAACTTGTGGTTGATATAAATGCTTCTTTAATAGGCTGGTGACATTCCTTGGGACCTGTCCAAGTCCATGTATAACTCCAGCTCTGCTCTCCCAGACTCCGTTTCCCTCCTCCCTGCAGATGCTTTTTTAATGCCACAGTAGCAGACTAACGTAATTTGCAGCAGAACAGATGCCTGCTCTCCTCGTGCATCGCATAGGGAGCTCCAGTGCCTAACTTGGGCCTTGGTCTTCTGTCCATGGGGATAACAACTCTCAAATGGAATTCAAGAATAGAATTTTTTCAGTTGGAAGGGGCTTTTAAAAGCCATCTGGCCCCATTTCTTGCAATGAACACAGACACTCACAGCTCCATCAGGTGTCTGGAGCCTCATCCAGCCTGACCTGAGTGTCTCCAGATATGGTGCACCACCACCTCTGGGCAACCTGTGGCCAGTGCACATTTACTCTTATTGTCAAGAACTTTTTCCTTGTATCAAATTCTAATCTCCTCTCTTTTAGTAGGAAATCATTTCCCCATGTCCTGTCACAGCAGACTCTGCTAAAGAGTTTGTCTCTTTCTTTCTGTAAGATCCCTTTAAGAAGAAGAAACTCTGGGAGAAGCAATTTTGCTTCTTTTCCTATCATTAATAAAAAGAGTTTTTTACCTTTTCATGTAGAATATTGAGTGGATTGTATTTCCACAGGCAGATGTTGACATGAATTCAAGGCCTGACTACAGACCTAAATATGAGAGGGCTGAGGACCAATGGGGCAGGTTGGCTGGCACTTGTGCTGCTCAGGTTCATCCCCATTGCTGAAGTCCGCATCCATGCCATGTGGCAGCCAGACCTGACTCTCCTCTTAGCACACATTTTCTGCTGGTTTTTTTTTTTTCTGTTTTGTTCTGGTTTTTTGGGTGTTTGTTTTTTTTTTTTTCCCAACTCAAAGTGTTTGAAATAGTGTCGACAGGTCTGGAGGTGACCAAGCCCAGCTGGATGCAATCTCACCCTAAATGGAGTCCCAGGACTGAGCTGTCCCCATGGCCACGTCTCAGAGGGACCGACTTGGGGTGGTCCAGGACCGAGCCAGGAAAGAGGTGTGAGTGAAACACTGAGGACAGGGAGGGGCCCAGGGCTGCAGCCTCCCTCGTGTCCATCTATCCAAAGTTTCCACTTTGGGGAACATTCCACAGTTTTAATGTATTATTTTTTTATGACTAAACCCCAAAGTGCACAGTCATTCGCCAAGAGGTGACATCTGGCTAAATAAATAACAATTATTGGCTGGTCCAGCACATGTTTTATTTCGACTGAAACTTTGTTTTTAATAAGCGAAACACAGAATATAAATGGGACGGTCGCATATTCAAACACATGCATACACACATATAATTTGTGTGTTGTGTGTGTTTGGAAGGAAGAGTAAATCCCACATGAAAGAAAATCAAACGCAGGACTTTTGTCCATGTGTTTCAATTACTGAGATCTAAATAAAAATAGAGTGGATGTCAACCTGCTTATTTTTAGCCATTTTGATCGCAGTGAAAATAACACAGAAAAGAACATTTCACCAAAATTCTCCTGACCTTGTCTAGCCCTGCAGATGACAACTTATTTGCTACCATGATTATTATCCTCGCTGGGCTCCAGAAGCAGTAAGCACAGAGGCAGGCAGTGAACCTGCAGATTTTGGGTGCCTAGCTTAAGTCTTGCATACAATGTGAAGCTTCCCTACGTCTTGTGTTTCTCTCCTGCTCTCTATGCATGGCACACATGTATTGGCCACCACTTGTTTCAATGGCAATGGTATGATTCTGAGTCTCCAGTCACAGTCAGCACAAATGAAGACCCTCAGTTAGGATTAAAAGAAAAGAAATAATCAGAGCAGGTGCTGCAGGCAGAGATGAGGCGGTTGGCAACCCTGCCCATGGAAGTGGGGTTGAACGATGATCTTTGAGGCTGTTCTCAACTCAGGCCATTCCAAAATTCTATGAAATGAGATGGGCTGGCTCTCCCTGCATCACACTGTGATCCAGGCTCTGGAATCATGTTTTCCATTAGCAAAGCTACTCAGAAGACTCCAAAACCTCTCCAGCACAGTGCATCTTCCACTCACATTAGCAGGAGAAGGTTGAAAGGCAGACGTGACTCCTGCTGCTCAAACACCTGGAACTACTGGTTGGATGCTGAGCAGCTTGTAGATCCACCTTCAGTGTGAAATGGACAGTAAAATTCAAAGCCAAATGTGAGCTAAGAACATCTGCTGCTCAGAGTGCTGGGGTAGTCCCCATCCTTGGAGGTACTCAAGAACCATGGAGATGTAGGACTGAGGGACATGGTTTGATGGCTATAGAGGTTGGCATGAGCATGGTGGCAGGCATGGGTTGACAGCTGAACTTGCTAATATCAGAGATATTTCCCAACCTTAATGAATCTGTGATTCTATGATAAGAGTTTCAGGTACACACATGGCATTTGTTGTTACACTGCCCATCAAACAGGAATGTCACAGTGTTGAAAGGAGGCTGATCTAATCCAAGAGACAATAGTGCATAAGTGACAGGAGACAACAGCTGGCATAACTGACCTCAGGGCAAGGGGAGGTGCTGGCTGCTCCTGCTTGCTGCTGATCCTTGCTTGCATCCTGCTGATGCTCTGCAAGGGCATTAAAGGCAGCATGAGGCATGGGCTGAGCATCCATGAGACTAATACATCATGGGCCACATTGCTCTGTCATTTTCTCCACACTGGAACAATATTGGAGGCAAAGAGAAAGGCAATATTATGCAGAGATACAGACCTGGGATGAGGAATAGAAGCAGAATCCTTACCTGTTCTGGGGAAAAAATACATTAGTATTTGTAACAGCAAAAAATTACAATGCTATGAAAGGTTATTGGCCAGCAGGGTAAGGATTTCATTTGCCACCTCTTCCTCCCCAGGCCATCAGGTAGTAGTGTGAGACAAGGCAACCCATTGCTAGTCCTCCTCCAAAGACATTCAATAAAATAACATAAAAATAAGAGTGATGTCCCTATGAGGAGGGAGACAAAAAACAAAGTGCATTTCATAAGGAGCTGGGTGACTCTTGTGTGCATTTAAACTGTAAATTCAGGTTTTTTTAGGCAACATCCATCTGCTCTTTAGTGCATGGAGTCACTGTGCACCATGATGGAAGATGGGACATGGTAAGTGGGCATGGTGGGGATGGGTTATGGTTGGACTTGGTGATTTTAGAGGCCTTCTCCAACCTTAAAGATTCCATGATTCTAAGAGGGCATTGTGATGATGATGAGTTGATGGTTGAATTTGATGATCTTTTCTAACCTCCTTCTGTGATCTCCTTCATGGGATACAGCTGGAGACAGCTATGGCCATATAGCATCTGGTTGTGCCAATTGATAGGAGCTGCTCATTCTATTCCAAGTCTCTGCTATCAGCAGGTTAAAAGGGAAGATTTTACCCATCTCAGTGGACCTGAGCTCTCTTTCTTGACCTTCAAGGAGATCACCATCTCTTCTAAAAATGGGGAAACTGAGGCAAGAGATGGGGGAGGGGGAGGGGGGGAGGGAAGATCAGGTGGCAGGAACAGAAGGGTTCTGGTTGCTGAACTGGGCAAGAAATCTAAACCTGTACTGGCTTAAGGCTGGGAACATCCCAGTTCAGGCCTGGATCTGCACAAGGACAACAGAGACTGGGGAGCATCTGGGGTCAGCCCACTGCAGGAGCCTTAGAGAGCGGCAGAAAGTGTAAAAGATTAGAAATCACAGAATGATTGTGATGGGAAAAGACAGCTAAGATGACCAAGTCCTATCCCAACTCATCTCCACCATGCCCACTAGCCATGTCCCCATGTGCCAATCCTTTGGAGAAGAAACATTTCCTAGTACCCAACCTGACCCTCCGCTGGTGCAATATGAGGTCATCGCCTCTTGTCCTATTGCTGTTACCTGGAAGAAGACAGCCCCCATTCAGGGAGCTGCAGTGAGCAATGAGGTCTCCCCTGAGTTTTCTTTTCCAGATTGACCCATCCCAATTCCCACAGCTGCTCCCCATAAGATTTGTGCTCCAGACCCCTTCACAGCTCCGTTCCCCTCCTGTGGACATGCTCCAGGGCTAGAGAGGAGCCCAACACTGAACGCAGTTCAGACCCCTTTGTACCCCAAAAGGACTAAAAAGAGAAACCACTGGCGGATGGGGAAGGAGAGGTGAAAGGAGAATGAGGGGACACTTTTGTGCCTGCAATCAATTCTTCCGGCTTCTCCTCTTTCATGGGCAGCCACTGGTGGCACAAAACGCAGCAGCAACAGTGCAGCCCATTTATCCACGAGTGGACAAGAGGACTTATTCTCCAGCCCTTGAGAGCAAAATCTTCCCAGGGTTAGGAGGCCGAGCCTGGGGCTTTGGGGAAAAAAAACCCTTTTCATTGCAAGTCATTAGGAAGAGATAAAGGTCTGCCTCGCTGCTCCGCACTCCTGCCAGCGCACCTTCTCAGCCCCGGGACAACAGTGGGGCCATTTTGCAAGGCCCTCTAATTATCCATTTCCTCCCATTGCTACCGCTCACAGAGGAAAGAAAGAAATAGCAAAAGGGCTCATTTCAACAGACCTTATCTGATAGCGCATTCAGGATGGGTTTCTCTCGCTGCCGGCCCTCCCTCTGCTTTCTTTTCTTGCCTCGCTCTCCTCCTGGTGCAGAGGGACCGGGTTTTGTTGTCCGTAGGGCTGGAGGACAGGGTGCACGGTACCGGGATGCCTTTCAGGCTCGTCCTAATTCAGAGCCATTGTCCCAGGCTTTTCTAAGAGGATGACAGCTGACATCAGTTCTCTACCTGCAGATTGGACTGATTTTTTTCCTTCTTTCTGTAAAAGCACGGTCCCATTAAATGCTGCTAAATACAAACCTTCACTAATTGCATTTCAATATGCATTTTTTCCTCTTCCCCCCTCCTCCTCAGTTCTTCACATCAGGTGCTCCTGTAAAAAGGCTGAATTAGGGTGCAGGTGTACAGCATGCAGTGCTCACCATGCAATGTCCCCCATACAGCCTCAAGGCACATTCAGACCATTGCACCAACCCTTCCTATAGCACAATTCATGGCTCCTCTCGCCAGCTGGGCTGTTCTCACATCTTCACCTCGTTTTTATAACTGCACTCTAAGGCATATAGTCTCATCCATGGTTTTTCTGCAGTTCCTCCATTATCTGAAGCCTTTGCATTTTGGTGGCACATAAGGAGCACCAGGACAGCCTCATCTTCTAGGGGCAGATAAATAAATCCCAGCAGAGGAGGAGGGAGGAGTTGGTCAACAGGCTGTCATTAAGCACAATTAAGAACACCTTTTCCTGCTGCCAGTATCCCTTCCCCAAGAAAGAAGTGTGTATGTAAATCCTTTAGGTTCAGGTTAATCTTTGTCTGAGATTCATGCATCTCTGCAAGGCTGCATTTTGCACTCTGCTTTTGCCATGTACAGACTAAAAGCGTTGGAATTCACAATGACCCATTTGGTCACTTACATTCATTCACAGAACAGCTCAGTTTCAACCCAGTTCTCGTGCCCAGCTGAAGCCTCTTGCAAAGAGCCATCTAGATTCTAAGAGCAGTCCCTAAGAGAGAGATCCTGCCCTGCAGGAAAGCAGCAAACTTCTCTCACTTCTCACCTCATTTTTCTCAGCCCTGCTTTGCTTCTCCTTCTGTCTTTTCCTTCCAGGTTGCAGAATACTTTCTTCCTTCTATTTTTTTCATATTACGTTTTTTTTGTGTGTGTGTGTATGCAAAACCTTCCTTTTGATGCACAGAACCAGAGCTGTTTCTACCTCTGACTTTGAAGGCATTCAGTTTGGAAACCAAATTGCTTTCATGGTGTTTTCAGCATGATCTCTCACTTGTCTTCTAAAACACCACCACAAATGGATCAGTGTTTCTATACCAGGCTGACCACTGCTTTCTACTAAGGTAGATATATCATTATATCTGTATTGCATAATACAAAGATCTTTGTAGTTATATACATCCTGGAGTCTAGGAGATACTGTCCTCCTTTGGTAAGAGGATTCACTGATGGATTTCTATGGATAAGTCACTACTAACCATGGTTAATAAACCAGCTGGATGCAGAGCAGAAACAGCTCCCAGGTTCCTTAATGAACATCTTTAGTTCCCTACACTCTGTGTAACATTTTTTAAACACAAAGAAGGTGATTTCCACAGGACAGAAGACACGTAATCACAAAATCCATACCTAATGCCCATGTTTTATTCCAAGGTTAGCAGGAACCTGATACCAAAACGACTGATTAAGTGATAGCAGAGCTTGAGCTCTCTGGTCTGATCCAACCCAACAAAAAGGCACTGATTCCCAAGGTGCGAATGCAAACCAGACAGCACAGAAATTAATAACAAAGCACAGCTGCTTGAGATGTTACAGAGTCAAAACACTCACGCTCTGTTCATTTAGATGTTTAGAAATGCAGTGGGGAGAGATTCCCCCCACACATGGACCACAGCTACGCTCATAAAGAAACAGGGCTGGGGTGCTGGCTGACGTCATGGCCAGCAGTGAGCCATTCCCTGCAGTTTTTGTGCTGCCTATCCTGGGTTTGGGCCAGCATCTCCCCATCATCTCTTGGCCACAGATCAGGGAACGGCATAGGGACTGTCCGTGTTGGAGATGGTCAGGATTCCTATAAAAACCCTTAATGCACAGCCATGGTCTACAGCAACCTCACCCAAAGCTTGGCCCAGATGTGTTCTGAGCCCTCCCTTGACAAGCAGTTCAGAAATGCCATGGAAGCGGCCACAGCACCAAGCTGCCCAAGTAAAAGAAGTGTTTGGAGAACTCTCTTGGACACAGGTTTCAAATTTCGGGTGGTCCTGTATGAGCCACAAGGGTCTTATCCAACCTGGGATATCCCATGATTCTATGATTCTTTATCATGCACCAGAAAGCTGGTGTGACCAGTCAGTGCAGGGCACGTGGGTTAATGACATCCCATCAGTGATGCCAAGGGAGGTGGTGGAGTCACCGAGCCTTGGGGTGTTCAAGGAAAGGCTGGATGTTGTGTTGAGGGACATGGTTTAGTGGGAGCTATTGGGAATAGGTGAACAGTTGGACTGGGTGATCTTTTAGGTCTTTTCCAACCTTGGTGATTCTATGATTCTATGATTCTATGATCATTGGCCCACGCTTTGGCCTCCCTCAGGATATTGAGAGCTCCCTTCCCAGTGCCCCCCGTTGCCTGTAGGGATTGTGCTACAGTTTCTTCCAAGTTTTAAGGCTCTCCAAACTCAACAATCAAAGACACGTCCAACCCACTTGACTGATTTCACAGCTGATTCTCATGGTTCTCTGGGTGCCCATCTCTATTGCTTTTTTTTTGTCTGTTAGCATCTTATCTCTGGAGCATTCAACAAGAACACTGCAATGTTCCTCTAGGTGTAGATCAAAAGCTTCCAAATATGTAATCTTCATTCAGTGAATAACATGAGTTAAACCTATGCAGAGCAAGTTGAGGTGCATCTTTCCATTCTCCTGAAGGTCTTCATGTTAGATAAATTCCTACCAGAGCTCTACGTGAGAAAGCTGGCAAGAGTTCCAAAATATCCCCAGCAGGGATGCAAATCCTCAAGTCTGTATCCTCATATTTTGTGGGGAAAAAAAAAAAAATAAATGTGCTAAATGCTCATAAAATAAAGCAAAACCAAAAATTTCCATGATGTCTTTTCCGAGATCATTGCTCTGTGACAGAAACCAAGCAGATCTCTGCAGCCCATAACCACTTGCTGAGGGGAGGTTAAAGTTGCTGAAAATCCTATTTGACCTTCTGAATGGAGTTAATGAGTCAGAAAACTTCCTGTGGATAATCCAATGAGGTGGATAAAAAGGTCCTGAACTACTTGGCATGAAGTCCCTGCCACAGAATTCCCTTGCTCTCTAATCCCTGACAGCAGAACAGCACAATCTCATCTTCTCTCAAGATTTTATGGGGTTGTCATCATTGCCGTTGAGCTTTCTCTGTGGCTATTGTCTTTTATGGGAAAGTATACTAATTAATAACAAAATGTCTGCTATGTTGACCAGAAGCTAGATGTTACAACATAAGGGAGAACTTTGCCCATATTCTTAACATGTCTTCATTCTTTATTTTTATTTATGATATCCTGAAGGTGACTTACATATAGACCAGGACCTGGTTGAACCGAGTTTAACCCAAATTTACGTATAGTTAAGTAAACCCAGAACATGCAGTTAAAATCTTGGACTTGTTTCTCACTATACTAGGGCAAATAGATCTTATGGAACAGACTCAGAAATAAGTGAAGCCTTTTGTGAACTTCCAAGATGCCATCTGGGCTCCTGAAAAAGCCAGAAAGAGAGGGCCACCTCTCTGGGATGTGATTTCTATCATCCTGAACTCCTACCAAAAAAACAGTTTGTTGAATCACCCTATGGAGATGCCAACAGTTTTCTGATAAATTTTCAGGGCAGCAGACGACCAGTTTAGACAAGAAGACTAACTTTTGGTTGATTAGGCAGATTTATAATTGGCATCACCACTTTCAAGTTCAAGTTTTGATCTCTTATCCCATATAATGCTATTTCTCTTTCTTCTCCTTCTCCTTCTCCTTCTCCTTCTCCTTCTCCTTCTCCTTCTCCTTCTCCTTCTCCTTCTCCTTCTCCTTCTCCTTCTCCTTCTCCTTCTCCTTCTCCTTCTCCTTCTCCTTCTCCTTCTCCTTCTCCTTCTCCTTCTCCTTCTCCTTCTCCTTCTCCTTCTCCTTCTCCTTCTCCTTCTCCTTCTCCTTCTCCTTTTCTTCTTTTTCCTTCTTTCTTCTTCTTTCTTTCTTCTTTCTTTCTTTCTTCTTCCCTCTTTCTTATTTCTTTCTTTCTTCTTCTTTCTTTCTTCTTCCTTCTTTCTTCTTTCTTTCTTTCTTCTTTCTTCTTTCTTCTTTCTTCTTTCTTCTTTCTTCTTTCTTCTTTCTTCTTTCTTCTTTCTTTTTCCCTTTACAGGACATTCTGGTCACATTTTCAGGCTAAAGACTTCTTTAATGAAAGCTGGAATCCTTGCACAACCACTTGCTTCCAGATGCTGAGGATTACAGTAAAACACTAAATATTGCAAGACTTACGGTACAATTGCAAGAGTTGGCAGCAGTGAAGAAGTGGACCAAGACTGAGAGAAAGGGAAAAAATAATGGGAGACAATTAAGAAAAGAGCTAATTTAGAGTGAATACCGAGAAAGGAATTTCAGGAAACAATACTTTCCAATAAATTCTCTGAGGCTATGGAACAGTCTAAAGGGAGAAAGACGGGTTCAATGTGACCAAAGCCCTACCAGTGTGCTGTTGGGAACATTCCTGTTATTGGATTGTTGCACGAAATGATTTTGTCGTGCCTTGTTTTGCATTGATCTTTCTCCCTTCCCTTCTAATTGTGAGAAAAGTTGTTTGTTTTTTAAAATTTCCTTTTTTTTTTTCTCTTTTCCCCCCCCCCCCCCCCCCCCCTGTATGCGTTAAAGAGATCAGAGCACGGCTCTAATCTGCATGTTGGCTAATTATATCTCTTCACTTGTCAACCCAGGGATCAGAATGTCTGCAGAGGGTTCTCAGGGTACCAAGCAGGCAGTGTTTGTTCTGACCAGCAGAGCACATCCAGCACAACACAACAACAGCTACTGGAAAGAATTGGAGTGTGGCTCCCAATGGCAGTATAAAAGTTTATTTGTAAATCTCATTCCATTCTTCAGTGCTCATGGGAGCAACGTTGGTCTAGTTGGAATAACGGTCCCTCTTATTTAATGTCTTCTATTGATGGTCCACAGCAGATGCTTAAGAAAGAATAGAAAAGCAGGGCAAGCATTTAATGATGCTTTCTCCAAATGTTCTTTGTAGCTCAAGGTCTCTGAATAGATTTCAGATATATACTAAGCCTCCACATCACAAATTTAACTTCCTTTACATACATCCCTTTGTTATCCTTTCACCTAGTGCTGCTAGGGGATTTCACAGACTTCACTTTTTCAATGCTTTTTCCACCATGTTCTGATTCAGACATTGCATAATGAAGGGACCAGGTTCAACCACCATAAATCTGCTCCGATAATAAACGTGCACATCAGAAGTAAGCAGGCAAAGGAGAAAGCTGGCCCTATGATAACCAGAGCCCACTAAGGCCTGAACTGCAGGTTGACCTCTGCTTCGTGGAATTCCCTGGTTAATAATCTATCATTTCC